CCAGGAGAGGTGTGTGCATTCTTCATGTACTGAAGTCACAGTCTGCAATAGAAATTTCTTGTATGTGGTATACCAGTTGCTAATGTCCCTGGTTTTGTCTATGCTATAGACAAACCCAGTGGATTAAAGAACTGATTTGAACCACTCACTCATAAAACTTCAGACTGTGACTTGTACTCAATCTTGGCTGTGATAGAAGCCAAGAAACAAACAAAACGACTAAAGAATACTTGCCAGAAATACCCATTTGGAAGATGGTAAGTTTATTTTATTGTGTTATTTTTTGTAATCTTCTATTTTCAGTTGAATATGTGCGTGGCCCACCAAGAAAGGTGTGTGCATTGTTGATGTACTCAAGTCACAGTCTGCAATAGGTAGTGCTTGTATGTGGTATACCAGTTGCTAATGTCCCTGGTTTTGTCTATGCAATAGACAAACCCAGTGGATTAAAGAACTGATTTGAACCACTCACTCATAAAACTTCAGACTGTGACTTGTACTCAATCTTGGCTGTGATAGAAGCCAAGAAACAACTCCGATAACAAATACACCACTGGAGAATGGTAAGTTTATTTCATTGTCATTGTTTGTAATATTCTATTTTCATTGAAGATGTTCGTGGCTAACTAAGAGAGGTGTGTACATTGTTGATGCACTCAAGTCACAGTCTGCAATAGGTAGTGCTTGAATGTGGTATACCAGTTGCTAATGTCCCTTGTTTTGTCTATGCTACAGACAAACCCAGTGGATTAAAGAACTGATTTGAACCAACTCAGGATTGTTTAATGTTACACCTAGATACTTTCCACTGCTGACTGTGACCATGGAGGAGGTATTTGTTGGTTATGGGACAGACATGGATGACTGTGCATTTTTGGGGGTGGAATTCCATTTGCCATGATTTCTCTAGTACTTCAGATCTTTTTGGAGCTGTTCGGCATCTGCTCTAGAGTTAATTCTTCGATAAAGCAGGCAATCGTCAGCAAATAATCTTGCGTCTGATGAAGTATGCTCCGGCAAGTCATTGATAAAGGTGAGAAATAGTAACGGTCCCATCACAGTCCCCTGGGGAACCCCGGAGATGACATCAGCTCTGGTAGAGGACTGACCCTCTAAGGTGACTCGCTGTGTCCGTTTCGCCAGGAAATCCTTGATCCAGTTCCACGTGTAACCTCTGACACCATAAAAGTGCAGTCTGTGTAGGAGGCGCTGGTGTGGCACTTTGTCAAAGGCAAGAAATCCAACAGCACTATGTCTACTTGCTCTCCAAGGGCCAGTGACTTGGCCACCTCGTCCACTGTAATCAATAGCTGCGACTCGCATGATCGTTTCTAAAACCGTGTTGCTGATCTGCCAGTATATGGTTACTGTCATAGTGATCCATGATTTGGCTGTGTACAATATGTTCTAACAACTTGCGTGATATGGAAGTTAAGGAGACAGTTTGAAGCTAAATGTCTCTCTCCTTTCTTAAATATGGGGACTATAGATGCTTCTCTCCAGTCGTCTGGCACTTTTCCGATATCAAGTGAAAGTTGGAACAATTTTGTCATGATTGGGGTTAGTTCTGTTGCAAAGTCATGGAGGAATCTTGATAGAATTGCATCTGGTCCTGTTGCTTTATGTATATTTAGGCCCTTCAGGAGTTTACATACACCACTACTTCCTATGCGGATGTTGTTCATAGTAGGGTGTGGGCTGTCTCCTTTAGATGGCATATCTGTAAGGTCTTCCTTTGTGTAAACCGAATGGAATTGGTTGTTTAGGATTTCTGCCTTGGACACTGTGTCACTGTGGAGCAGACCATCGGGGCCCTTGAGTGGAGACCGCCGCTGGAGTCCTGTTTTTGATGTTTAATGTAGGACCAGAATCTCTTTGAATCCTCACATATCACTTCTTGTAAGTATTTTTCCCTTGCGAGTCGTATCTCTCGCTGGCATGATGTTTTTAGTTTGTTGTATCGATTTCTGCATGTCCCTGTTGTTTTTGGTCCTTCTTGCTTTTTGGTGTGCTCTATTCTTCCTCCTCGTTAGTCTGTTTAGGTGGGTATCAATCCATGGATGTGATGGCTTGGATCTAGTAAACTTAGTTGGTACATGTTTCCTCATCAAATTATTGATCATAACCTTGAACTTGGTCCATATTAGATTGATGTCCCTGATGTTATCATATTCCTTATAGCTGTTCTTTATTTCTTCTCTGATGGCATCCATATTGGCCCTTTTCCATAGAAAGATCTCTCTGCGAAGGTGTTTCGATCTTACTGGTTCCACTGCTGCATCACATAAGATGACATCGTGATCAGCTTTGCCAATGGGTGGTAAACTCCTAATTTTTTCTATCAGAGTTGGGTGGGAAGTAAATAGTAGGTCTAGGATATTCTCTCCTCTGGTCTTACAGGTTATTACTTAGTTCTTCGCTGGTATTCACTAGGGACTCGCTGATATACTTTGGATAGATGTTGTTCCTGCTGAGTACATTATGCGACTTCCAATCTATATCTGGTGCATTAAAGTCACCACCAATGTGGAAGATTGCTTTCTTATGCTGCTGTTTAAGAGATGTGATATCTTCCCTGAAACTGTCAAGGTAACTTTCACCGGAGCCTGGTGGTCGATAGAAAGATGATACTATCAATTGTTTCCCATTTGGTAGGTCGATCTTTACAGCAATCAGTTCAACTGATTTACTGGAGAATATCTCTGATGATGTGAGTGATGTGTGAACTGCTATAAGCACTCCACCATAGCTGTCTGTACCTCGATCCCTCCTGTATACTGTATAGGTATCAGGGAAAAGTTCTGATGACAGTATGTCTTTATTTGTCCAGGTTTCAGTGCCGATTATGACGTCAGGTGCTGTGGTTTCTATTAATACTTCAAGCTCAGCCGCTTTGTTTTTGATTGACTGGAAGTTTGTGATGATTGTGCGGAGTCCTTTACGCTGATGGTTGGGTATAACTGTTGATTTGTTTGTTTTCGGTGATGATGTTAGAAGTGGACTCCCAATTGAGGATGATGTGGTATTATCCAATAAGTTGTTACTACAATCTGATAACAAAGAATAGGAGTTGTTACTTAATGGCACATCATATAAGGTTGTTGAGTGGTTATAACTATTGCAGTTAGTACAGAACCAGGAGGATGATCGGTTTCCTTATTGGTGGTATGATTCATCTGATATCCCCATGCACTTTGCATGGAACCATTGGTTACATTCATCACAAGCTACAGCTTTCTGTTTGACTTGCACGGTTTCTCACAAACTCCACATGGATACTTAACTGGTCCTGTTTGTTTCAATACCCCCTATCATTAGCAAGGTGAGTAGAAGGCGATAGGACATTACTGTTGATGACGATTTCCTAACCCTTACATGAGAGAGCCAGTTGTAGATAATTGTAGGGTGTTGAATTGATATATTCTCTATGAAAGTTAGAGGGTGGTATTTAAGTAGAGTAGGTGATAATTTAAGGTTGTACTCATGTTCATCGCTGGTCTTCTGGGTGATCGTTGAGCTAAGTATAAGCATATACAAAGTAATCAGAGGAAATTCGGAATGCATCGGAGATAACCGGAAGTTGAATGTTTTGAATTCAAAGTTATGATTTTTGGTGAAGGAAGGTGAAATATACCAAGATTTTCACATCATCCGTGTCCAAATATGCTAACAATTTCTTATCATAGTTTCAGTACAAGTTAGAAGTCAAATTCCACAGGGTTTTATCTTTTTACGATTGGAGTAAATCGGAGGCGCTTCAGCTGTGTTCGATCCTTAACACTTTGAATTTTAATCGAGTTGATTTCATGGTACATGTAATTCTACTGGAATGTAAATTTCACCAAGCGAAAGATCAGGAACCGTGGGGGCTTTGTATGCATGCAAAGCCCTGGTATACCCAATAAACTAGACAGTGTTTCCTTGAATAAATCAAAAAAGCGTGTTCGAAACTGGTTGATTGCTCGTCGATGACCACTTCACGCCTGACCAGCACCTTATACATGTAAATCGTGATCTAACAACTACTTTTTATTATACTTGCGCATGCCGAAATAGTTCAAACAATACAACTAATAGAAATTGATTGATGACCAAACTTGCATGGATGATACATCTATAAAGACGCATACTATTAGGCTTGCTTCGGATGCTGGATCTGGCGTACATTTTTCGGATGAGTAAATAGGAAACCGTTACAATTTTTGGTGCAGATTTCATATATCTATTAATAAGTAACCGCGAGTCTTATGTTGACCAAATTAAACCTGCATGGAAGACGGTCGATATCTGGTACCGCCTGTAGGTCGGCGGTCAGAAGACACATTCACATTAAAGATGCACACTACCAGGAGGCTTGCTTCAGATGCAGGATCCCACATACATTTTCCATGTAAAGGAACAAGTTAAAGTTATGGGTACAGTTCTATCACTAAGAAACTATGACCTATATTAAACCAAACTTGCATGGATGATCCATCAAGGGATGAACACTCTCAAATTTGCTTTAGATGTTGGATTTGAATAATAATTATAACATTACGGATCCCGGAGCATTTCAAAAGAGAGGGTGCATGTCAGACTTAGTCAAGATACTAATCCAATCGAAAAAAAAATATATTTCATGGTAGAATTGGGGAAGGCTGGGGTATTTTTGATTAAGAAAAAACATATTTCCTTTCGGGCGTAGATCAGTTTTCCTTATAACGTTTCGAAGTTTAATTATATCATGGCTCTTCCAAACAACGTAGAAGGGACCCGTGTTTGCTAATTGTCATATTTTGGGTATTTTATTAATATGTACTGTATACAGTTAAAAACATCGCAAATGCAAAGGGGCGGGGTCAAGGTACCCCATCCATTCTTCTTACCCCATCGATCAATTTTTAACCACTTTTAAAAAACGATTCTTAGATCATTTATACATGTACAATGTATTTGGTAATTCAATTCGTTTAATATATAAATTTCAATGTTAAAGAACTTTATTGTTTTGTAGGCTTTGCTGGAGGATCTTATTACATGCACAAGGGCGCCGCGGTAGACCCACTCTGTTTACCAAGAGACCCTCAATGGGGGTCCCATAACAACTGGAAGGACAATTTCAGAGGACTTCTTTACGGGGCGGAATACAAGGGTGTTTATAGTGACTCTGTGTCCCATCTCGTGGATCACGACGTGCCCTGTGCCGTCTGTGAAACTATTGGTGAAAAGCCCGTTATAGTTATCCCAGGTAAATTGAGAGATATTTTGTAGTTAAAGTGTTATGGGTCAGAATAACCCTAAATGCCAGCAAAGATCAATCACACAGTTTAAACTTAACAATAATTTATTTACAGTAATATACAAATCATTAAGTACAAACTTAGCAAAAATCTAAAAATACATACATCAGAGTGTCCGTTGCTGCACACAATGTCCCAGTGAAATTATATCCCAGTAATACCTCAATGATGCTTATACGACAATGTTCACCATTATTTATGCATCGAATTGACAGGGTATTTATACAGTAATATAAATCTAGAATATTCTAGAAATTGTAAATACATGATATTACTGGAAAGTTCTGGACATGCACAAAGTTCAAGAATGTTCTAGAAAAATGACCGAACATGTTGACCACTCTGGAATGTTCAAGAAACTTAATGTTACTAATAATATACATGATGAAATAATACAAATACAACACACCTCACAACACCTCCCCCCTTAAAAAGTTTGAATGTCAATGAAAACTTATATTGTTAAAATGAAATATATGTACATTAATACAAAATCATATATGTTCACGATACTCTGGACAAGGCATCTGCAATAACATTGTCTTTGCCTTTGATATGCTTAATTGTTATGTTGTATTCTTGTAACAACAAACTCCATCTAGTCAGTCTTTGATTTTTGTTTGACAATTTATGCAAAAATGTCAGGGGGTTGTGATCAGTATATACAAGAATTGGATGCAATGTAACATTCAGATAAACATCAAAATGCTGTAAGGCTAACAACAAAGCAAGGCATTCCTTTTCAATGGTGGAATACTTTTGTTGACATTTTGTAAGTTTCTTTGAAAAATAAGAAGCAACTCTATCTACATTATCACTATGTTCTTGAAACAAAGCTGCCCCGATTCCAACATCACTAGCATCAACAGTAAGCTTAAATTGCTTAGAAAAATCTGGAGTTGACAGAACTGGATTACTCATAAGGACAGATTTGATTTTATGAAAGGATTTTTCACAGTCCTTTGTCCATTCAAACTTAACCCTCTTCTGCAAAAGATTTGTAAGTGGACTAACAACTGAGGAAAAATTTGGACAAAATTTTCTGTAAAACCCAGCCATGCCCAAAAACCTCATTAACTCTTTCTTGTTTGTAGGAATCGGGAACTTTGCAATAGCTTCCACTTTAGCCATAATGGGTGTAACATAACCTTGACCTACTTTATGACCTAAATACTCTACATAGGCATGACAAAATTCGCTCTTCTCAAGGTTCACAGTTAAGTTTGCTTTAGCTAAAATGTCAAACAAAGCACGCATGATTCGGAGATGTTCATCCCATGTGTCGCTGTATATGACGACATCATCAATGTAGGCCTCGCATCCCTCAAGGTCTTGAAGAAGGGAGTGAATCATCCTTTGGAATGTAGCCGGTGCGTTTTTCATGCCAAAAGGCATTACTTTATACTGGTAAAGTCCATCTGGTGTAGCAAAAGCAGATATTTCTTTTGCTCTTTCTGTTAACGGCACTTGCCAGTAGCCTTTCAACAGGTCAAATTTACTGACAAATTTGGCGTTTCCAATGCTGTCAATACAGTCATCAATTCTAGGTATTGGATATGAATCAGTTTTGGTAACAGAATTCACCTTTCTAAAGTCTGTACATAATCGGTAGGAACCGTCCTGTTTTGGTACAAGAATACACGGTGAGCTCCAATTACTTTTACTAGGTTCAACAATGTCATTGTCCAACATATACTGCACTTCCCTTCTTAGGTACTGTAATTTTATTGGATTGAGACGGTACGGATGTTGTTTGATAGGCAGAGCGTCGCCAACTATAACATCATGACAAGCTGCATTAGTTTTCTTTGGAACATCCGAGAAGATTTGATGGTACTCATTCATCAAGTTTTTAACTTGTTCTTTTTGGTGAATGTTCAAATGTCCAAGTTTGGCATCAAAATCAGCCAAAATTTCTGAGTTTTTCAAGCGGACACTCTGATTACAATCTTTCTCATTCATCTCTACACTCGTATCACTCTCAATACAATTTTGAACAGTCTTAGCGTTGGCTAAAGTGGAAACTGGTTTTACAGAATTTCGGTCACACCTTTCAAAATACTCTTTTAACATGTTAATATGACAAACCCGTTTCTCTTTACGTCGACCTGGTGTCTTAACTACATAGTTTACATCACTGATCTTGCTTTCAATTTCATAAGGGCCATAAAATCTGGCTTGTAAAGGATGACCAGGAATAGGTAAAAATACAAGAACCTTATCACCTGGCTTAAACACCCTATTTCTGGCATCTTTGTCATACCACATTTTCATTTTCATCTGAGAACTCTTCAAATTTCCTTGTGCTAATTTACAAGCATTGTAAAGTTTTTCTTTGAAATCAGACACATAATCTAAAAGATTAAGATCACTAGTCTCAGTCAGCCACTTTTCCTTCAACAATTTCAAAGGACCTCTAACTGTATGACCAAACACCAGTTCAAAAGGACTGAACCCAAGAGACTCCTGGACTGCTTCTCGTGCAGCAAATAGTACAAGATGAACCCCATCATCCCAGTCTTTCTCATACTGATAACAATAGGTCTTCAGCATTGTTTTTAAGGTCTGGTGAAAACGTTCTAGCGCCCCCTGGGACTCAGGATGATAAGCAGTTGATCTATATTGCCTTATACCCAACTCATGCATGACTTGCTGGAACAACCCCGACATAAAATTTGAGCCTTGATCCGACTGAATTGCCTTTGGTGCTCCTACAAAACTGAAAAACTTGGTTAGGGCCTTAACTATGCTCTTTGCCTTTATATTCCTAAGAGGTATGGCTTCAGGAAACCGAGTGGATGTACACATAATGGTAAGTAAATACTGGTTTCCAGATCTAGTCCTAGGCAAAGGTCCTACACAATCCACCAACACTCGACTAAACGGTTCTTCAAAAGCTGGAATGGGTTGGAGAGGAGCAGATGGTATCTTCTGATTTGGTTTACCTACCATCTGACAGACATGGCATGACTTGCAAAACTCAGAAACGTCCTTTCTTAGCTTAGGCCAATAAAAATGACTCAAAATCCTATTATAAGTCTTATTGACACCTTAATGACCTGCCATAGGTGTATCGTGAGCTAAACTCATGACATCTCGACGATAAGCAGCTGGGACCACTATCTGGTGAACAACACGCCACACTTCATCTGGAGAAGCGTCAGGTGGTCGCCATTTTCGCATAAGGATGCCATCTTTCATATAAAAGCATTCTCCAACTTTAATAGCCTCTTCTGGTGGAAGTGCCCTCTTACTAAGTTGAATGATATCTGGGTCTTTATTTTGTTCAGAGAGTAAACGTTCTCGGCTGAGGATGTCCTTGCCTTGGCTAACATCATCCTCACCACCAAATTTTGGTAAAAATTCTTTCTTCTCTTGCTTCTTGATATTGTGTGGTTCCATGCTTGTTTGAGTGCCAGCAAGGTCAGATAAGAAAGTGTCATTCAAATCAATATCAACAGAGGAATTCGTCTCGTCAAAGGCTTGAGTATGGTCTGCCTCCATTTCTCGTCTTCTGGCCATCGCTCTAGAAACAGCACAGGCTGGATAAATGTCATCATCTTCATCATCGCACATAACATCTGGAGTGATTTTCTCACAAACTATAGGATCTGGTACAACTTTTCCACCAGCTAAATCGTTGCCTAGCAACAAAGAAATGCCTGGAACGGGAAGAGTAGGTCGAACACCTACGATAACAGGTCCAGTAACTAAATCTGACTTCAAACTAATTCTATGCAGGGGAACATCAATGACACCTAGCTCCACACCCTGTAATAAAACTGACCTACCAGTAGAAGTCTGCTCAGACAAAGGAAGCACGCCCTCTAACAATAACGTCTGTGCAGCACCAGTATCTCTCAAAATCTGGACAGGTTTTATTTCGCTAGAGTCACCGAGTGAAACAAATCCCTGAGACATAAAGGGCTTATAATCCTCCATAGAATCAATAGAACTGGACTGTGAACCCTGGACATCAGGAGTGTCAGAACAAATCGAAACTAAGGCTTCTCTATCACCTCTAACTGCCGCACAAGCATGTGGTTGAGTTTTATCAAAGTCATTTTTTCTCTTAAGTTTAAAGCATTCACTGATCAGATGACCTTTTTTCTTACAATACATGTAACTACAAGTAGGAAGCGACCCTATTCCAGAAGATCCTTCAAAACGTCCTGGACCGGACTTAGAACCACCTTGTGATGTAGACTGGGAACTTGTGAAAGACTGAGACCCTGAACCACTCTTTTTATATGTGTATGAATTGGTAGAATTACTGCTAGCCTGAGATCTTGAAACAAAATTCTTTTTATGAGACAGAGCATAAGTATCAGATATGACTGCTGCCTCTTCAAGAGTTTTCACATTCTTATCTTCTAAATGTGTTTTCAAATCTTGAGAAACACATTCCTTAAACTCTTCTACCAGGATGACTTGGCGCAAATTAGCAAAAGTTTTATCAAGTTTCTTAGATCTAAACCAGTGATCGAATAAATCTTCTTTCTCTCGTGAAAATTCAACAAATGTTTGGTTATCAAACTTCCTATATTTTCTGAATTTTTGTCTATATGCTTCAGGTACTAATTCATATGCTTTTAATATTGCTGCTTTGATCTTTTCATAGTCTAAACTTTCAGCTACCCCTAGTGCAGAGTATACCTCAGCTGCTTTGCCAACCAGTACACTTTGTAACATTGTTGACCAAACGTGTTGTGGCCATTTAAGATTTTCTGCGACTTTCTCGAATTGGGGAAAATATTTGTCTACAGATTTTTCTTGAAATTTCGGAACTAACCTAATATTTTTTGCTGCGTCAAATTCATCCTTGACAAATGACGGTTCTGGTTGGTGCTGTAATTTTAATTTCTCTAACTCAAAGTTCATTTCACGCTCTTTTTCTCGCTCTTCTCTTTCTGCTGCTAATTTGTCTAATTCAAATTTTCGTTCACGCTCTCGTTCTTCTCTTTCTCTATCTCTTTCTCGCTCTTCTCTTTCAAATCGCATTTTCTCTAACTCTAATTGAAACTGATAGTCTGCCATTTTATAAGAGCCTAACTCTGATCTAACTGTATATTCTGGAAGATCGTATTTTTCAAAGATGTTTTCTTCCACTAGTTTGTTTGCAACCTTAATTCTAATGTCTTGCTTTCTCTGAGAGGATTTAACATCTAACCCAAAATGCAAACCTAATGCGATCAAGTCATCCTTTTTTAACGTATCAAAAACCTGAACACTTGGCAAACTAAGAAAGTTTGTGACCGAAAATACCATGTTGATTTTTGCTGGCTTTTAGTCAAATTTAACAATTTAATTAACAAAATTCTGACAATGAACTGCAAAAGTGCAAGAAATTCTTGATCCCGGACGAGCCCCCAATTCTGTTATGGGTCAGAATAACCCTAAATGCCAGCAAAGATCAATCACACAGTTTAAACTTAACAATAATTTATTTACAGTAATATACAAATCATTAAGTACAAACTTAGCAAAAATCTAAAAATACATACATCAGAGTGTCCGTTGCTGCACACAATGTCCCAGTGAAATTATATCCCAGTAATTGGTGACCCCGACGTGAGCTAAACATAATTGGTGACCCCGACGTGAGCTAAACATCCCGGACGAGCCCCCAATTCTGTTATGGGTCAGAATAACCCTAAATGCCAGCAAAGATCAATCACACAGTTTAAACTTAACAATAATTTATTTACAGTAATATACAAATCATTAAGTACAAACTTAGCAAAAATCTAAAAATACATACATCAGAGTGTCCGTTGCTGCACACAATGTCCCAGTGAAATTATATCCCAGTAATACCTCAATGATGCTTATACGACGATGTTCACCATTATTTATGCATCGAATTGACAGGGTATTTATACAGTCTCATAAATCTAGAATATTCTAGAAATTGTAAATACATGATATTACTGGAAAGTTCTGGACATGCACAAAGTTCAAGAATGTTCTAGAAAAATGACCGAACATGTTGACCACTCTGGAATGTTCAAGAAACTTAATGTTACTAATAATATACATGATGAAATAATACAAATACAACACACCTCACAACAAAAGGATCACTGTCTAGGTAGTAGAATATGGTATACAAGGTCATCCACCAGGCGTGGATCCAGATTTTAATTTTCAGGAGGGGGTCCACCCCAGTCAAAAAAAAATCCAACTCAGATATTACTTGACAAACAAAAAAAAAACCGTAAAAAAGTTAACAAATATGAAAAAAAAAACCTATTGGTGGGGGGGGGGGGGGGAGTGGATAACTTTTCAATTTTCATACCAATATCACATACATGTAGGTCCGAATTTGCAAGGAGGCCTGGGGCCTCCGTTTTCTAGAGGGGTCCAAGGCTTCTTTTAATTGGTTTAGTATATACATTAATAACTCTGCGTGATTGTCAGTAGGTGTTCCTGAGCATGCTCTGATAACTAACGCCATGACCTTCATGTTTGACCTAAGCTTTACAATGTAATTCTAATTTTGGTGATTATTTTTTGAATAACATTTGATAGGGTTTTCATATTTGGCAACTTCATTCCTGTGTTAAAATGTTTCCGAATTTGCTAGGATATTTGCCTCTATAACCTTGACCTTCATATCATGACTTGATTTTCATCAGTGTTACTAAAAGCATCTCCCATCCACTAAGACATTGAACTTGCCTGTCTATCTTAATAATATCATTTCAGCTCGAACATCTTGTTACTCAGGATGGAAAAAGGAGTATAGTGGATATCTGATGTCCGGTCATCATGGCTACCAGGCTGGTTCTGAATATTCTTGTGTGGATCAATATCCCCAAACTGTGTTCGGAGGAAGCCCACGCAAGAACGGTTACCTTTTCTATCTGGTAGAGGGAAGATGTGGCAGTCTAAAATGCCCTCCCTACAGGGACGGGTGGGAAATTACCTGTGTCGTTTGTTCTAAGGCATAGATGACATAGAACAAACATTTACAACATTAAAATGATAAAATTTAACTTATCTTCGCCGTTTTATTATTTTTAGCTCATCTGTTCGGTCCATGTGGAGCGTTTGTCCGTTGACCGTCTTTGTCGTTATAATATAGTTAAACATTTTCATCATTGGTTTAATTTAAAACTAGAGGTACTGTGAGCAGTGAGCTCACTAAATGATACTCCCACCCCCCGCCGCCTCCCATATGAATATAATGATAGTGTCCATGTTTTGCTGTGGGAAACGCAAAATATATATGTGTCGGATCAAAACATAAAACATGGAATGCAAAATGGCAATATGTAATAAAGATTCTGTGAAAGTTTAATGAAATTTCATTCAGTGGTATGAGAGGAGTTGCGGATAAAAGATGGGTACCCCAAAGCGTAACAGACGATCTGACGATCGGACATACCGATTACTATATACCCGGTACCCTCCCGCTTTTCAAGTGGGATATAAAAACTTGACGCATACTCGTAGCTAGTATTCTAATGTAAATGCAGGGGGTGCAAATTTGTCTAAATGAAAAGCAAATCTTTTCCGCAATAATTCTATAATTTACCAAAAAAGTACGTATAGAAGCAGCCATTTAATATAATTTATACCCATTATTCTGATTAGAATCTATATCAAATCGCACTTAATGATAAGTTAATTCTATTTATTGGAAATCGTATATCGTTTACCATTGTGGCCGATTCTGTACGTAGCGGTAATGATTTGTTTTCGGCAATCGATCGTCCTTTTGAAAAAATTGTAGAAATGTAGCGGTAGTGAGTTGATAAGCTAATGAGTTTAGATTTCTGGTACAGAAGCGGTAAAGTGTTGATATTTTTGCAAAGTAGCGGTAATGAATTATTATTTTTGGCGATGTAGCGGTAATGTTGACCATGGTTGACCTCGATTGCCATTATTATTGTAAAATATATTTTTGTACTAGTTTATGATCGAGGTTTATTGTTTGTTTGTTTTCGGCAGGGGGGGGGGGGGTATCGACATATCTAAAACAGTCAGCTACAATTTTTAAAGTTATTCCCCTTTGAATGGAATGCCTGTCAATAATTTAAATGACCAGTGCTTATATATAGCAACCATAATAACAGTGCAAGAACTGTCAGGGAACCACCATTTAAACATACAAAAAATGTAAGGAAATGATTCTTTGAAATCTTTCAAAACAAAAGTACAGGCCATATACATAACAGAATGGATTCCTAAAAGAAAATGGGCTGTGCTTGTTCTTCCAATGCAGGTAGACTGAATTCAGTATTGATTGCTTGCTGTATTGTAGTTTACAAACTAATGAATATTGCGCAATAATTATGTGGCAAGGTTATATACAAATATTTGAAAATAATATGCTTATTTTTCACAGCAGATGATGAATTCCATTACATAACATGTGAATGTAATTGTATTTATGTATCCCAAAGTGAAGCAATATGAGCTGCAACTTTGATGTCAGAATATTTTGTTGCAAAATTGTAAATAACTACTTCAATGACAGATAAACATTAACGTTAATAAAGTTCTGTTGTTCCTATTTGCGATGGAAGCACTATTTATAAGCTTCGATTGAATAAAAAAAAGCATTAAATATATATAAAACTGTATAATAGATTGTATACAGAAGTCTTTCTTCTGCTTTATTTTTCGTCTAAGTGATCATAAATGATAAAATGTACCATCTTTTCATTGCACGCATCCATTTTTTTTTATTTCTGTAATGATTTTTAATATTAATAAAGTTAATTGTTATTTTGAATTAAGCTTAGAAAGTAGGTAACTTAAATTTTTTGTATATATGTGCATGTTATGTTAACCTCAATAATAAATCTTTAATATCTGTTCCTTAGATCCCTCTATGCCCAGGCCAGTAGTCAACTCTTATCCTCGAAGTCAGCAAATGGAAACTAGATGGGTTCAGCAAGGTACATAAAAGCACCCTCCCTTCCCATTACATTCGAATATATGTATCTATACAAAGTTCAGATTTTAATTAAAAGATACTAATATATTTGATGGGCGTTGAAATGCTTTATTACACGTCAAAGTTATGGGAATAATTTATAAATTATATATCTCTGTTTTTCTGAATAAATGTATTTTTTTCCCCGGGCCTTGTATAAAATACGCATTAAATCGTCTTGAAATGGGATGCATATGATAATATAGGTTGGTTCTGATGACCCTAGCACATACTATTGTATTTCTATTATTTACTAATTTTTTTATAGATCAACCGATGACATTGCCACCATCCGGACACAACATTAGGAACAGTAGAAACGAAGACGCCGTTATAGCGGGTGTGTAATGAATGTAATGCATGTGATAAACAAATAGTTAAAATGTTCTGATTTCCAAATAATTGAGTATTATTGAATACAACAAGTTTATCAACAAAATTCCAACCAATCAGGAAATGCCTATTAAGAGAACGTAACTAATTAATATGTATTTTATGCAGGGTGTATATTTATATATACTTATTGGAGGTGGGGTCGGGGGTTAAGCTACTTGAATGTAGCAAACTACATGTTATTTTACCCCCTCCGCCCTCAAACCCAATTGAAAAGCAATGGTAGTGTTCGGAATGTCCATACGTCTGTCCGTCCATATAGCTGAACGTCTGTCTGCTACGCTTTGGGTTTGGGAGACCCATCTTTTATCGGCAACTCCTCTTTTACCACTGAATTAAATTTAATGAGACTTTCACAGTTTTTTGTTATATAGTGCCACTGTTTTTGCCATTTTTTTTAATCATCAGTAACTTTAATTTGCTTTTTACAGCCGCAGCAATGATGCATTATGGGGGACATCACCACATGCATGGATTTGGTCCCCGGCTGTACAATCCAATGGAAGGGGACTACGGGCTGATGTGAACGCCATGAAAATTATATGTTGACAAAATCATCAGGATTAGTATGAAAAAGTCAATGTTGACACACATAACAAATTTGTTAAACATTTTCATCTGAATCATAAAAAAACTCTCTGAAGAAAAGAATACAGTTTTCTAAGAACAGTTGTTCCTTACACTTAATAAAAAAAAAGAGGGGGGTTGGAAAAGAGTTTTAAAAATACAAGTTTCAAGAAGTATATGAGAAGCTTGAAGTCAGTAGATCAGATTTTTATTTTTAATTAGACATCATTGAAAATTTTACTGTTAATTTACTTGAATATTGTAAGTTTCAGACTGAAAGACATTGACTTAAATAATTGAATGACAAAGAAAATATATGTATTATGGCTATTACATATTGAATAGAATGCCGAATTGTAAACTCAGGTAAAAACTCATAAACCATCATTGTTTTACACTCATAGGCTTTAAAGGTCACTGACATATTTGATAAGCATTTGTGTGTTAATAAATTTATAACAGTAAATAATTTGATAAACAAATTATTATACATGTAAGGACTGCTAGTTAAAAGTTGTTTATATATATTTTTAAAAAAAGATGATGCATTAAAATGAATGGTTGTATATATATGTATATAAATAAAATTTGTTAATTTTGCTGTAAGCCTTTTTTTCTTTATTTTCAGCTATACTATTTTCCTGGTGCAAATTCTTTATTTAAATGGGCTTATAAAAGACTTCCAACTCAGCTTTGACATATCCATGGTATTCAAGATACAGGCTTTAGAGTTTAAGATAGTGAGATTCAACTGTCCACTGAGCAGTGTTGTCATTGAGTTAAGCACTCTCTACCATCGGCTCATACATTCACCTCTGTCGTTGGCTCGCGTATATCACAGTGATAAACACAAGAAATAGTGCGTTTGTTTTAATTCATCATAATTCAATTTCTATGGTTATGTCTGGGTTTTGAGGTAGCTATTTACTAAATAAATCCAGAACTATTATTTTAATTTGAAAAAATCCTGCAAATATTACGTTTTATACGGTATGTCAAAAATCTTGACGTGAGCCCATTGCAGAGGTGTCTGAGAGAGGAACGAACGACAACTCTAAGAAATGAAATAGAAGGGGGCATTAGGGATGTATGTTCCAGCATGGAACTCACCCAAGACGAATACCAAAATAAACTGTGAATTACATCATTATCGATGGGGAAATTCCCTGAGTCTTAAGGACAACCCGGACTGCATGAAAGTCTATAATTAATACAAAAAGATATGTCTATAATTAATACAAAAAGATATGTACATCACAAGTAACATTGTTATCCCGACCACTCAATCACTTTTTGAAATTGTTCAAGTTCTAAAGAAAACAGTTCAAGAAACCTTAGAAAATGATAACTAAAATACTGACAGATTTTATGTATTCATATATAAATAACATTTTATATATAAATAACAATATACATTGTAACATTATATATTTACATCCACTGAATATTTTTTCTCCTTTATTTCTTAAGAAAACCCATTGCGTAAACCAGTGCATGAACTACACTAGGCATGTCACCTGTTAGGTTTCTTGATCAGTGGCCGTTTCATCAATGAAAAGTACAAAGACGTTCACATCATTGATACAATAATTAATCTTTTTAATCCTACTTTAAATGATTATTTAAACAGATATTATTTAATATAAACAATAAAATGTCTTTCTTTGGTTGTTAGTACGGGAATGAATCAGGCACGTAGCATCGTTTTTGAAAGTGGGGGGGGGGGGGCAACCAGAGAAATTTTTTTACTTACCTGAAAAAGTTGACAAGCAAAAAAAATAATAAACGGAAAGTTAAATGTCGCCCAAAGTCGAAAATCCTATTTCGGGGGGGGGGGGGGGGTAGTAGCCAACTTCCAATTTTTTCCATACAATTCCTTGATAACACTATACTGTGGTAAAAAGTGGGGGGGGGGGCAAGCTACCTTTCAGTGAACATTTCTATAGTAAAGGTCATGTTGGCCAAAAAAATGGGGGGGGGGGGAATGCCCCCCCCCCCCCCCCGGTTGCTACGTCCCTGTGAATGTCACAGCTATTGCAGAGAAAAATTACATAACCCGCTTACACGAAAAAAAGGGTATAGATATACAGA